CTTGACCCCATTTTCAAGGTCACAGCAGGCATATCTGCTTTTGGAGTTGGAAAACGGTGTTGCCGCGATATCTCAAGAACTAATCTCTGGATTGTCTTCCTATTTGGTACTAGGGTGTATATACGGACTCCGCAGACACCAGATGGTTTTGGTGACCTTGAGCCCATTTTCAAGGTCACAGGAGGTAAATCTGCTTTTGGAGTTGGAAAACGGTGTTGCCGCGATATCTCAAGAACTAATCTCTGGATTGTCTTCCTATTTGGTACTAGGGTGTATATACGGACTCCGCAGACACCAGTCGGTTTTGGTGACCTTGAGCCCATTTTCAAGGTCACAGGAGGTAAATCTGCTTTTGGAGTTGGAAAACGGTGTTGCCGCGATATCTCAAGAACTAATCGCAGGATTGTCTTAATATTTGGAACTATGGTGTATATACAGACACCGCAGACACCAGTCGGTTTTGGTGACCTTGACCCTATTTTCAAGGTCACAGCAGGCAAATCTGCTTTTGGAGTTGGAAAACGGTGTTGCCGCGATATCTCAAGAACTAATCGCTGGATTGTCTTCATATTTGGTATTTTGGTGTATATACAGGCGGGGGACATTTCGTCACTTCTGTGACAAATACTTGTTATACTTTACATTCACTATGAAATGAACATACAAAATTCGAAATGTGCCCCATGGCAGGGGATTGTGATAACGTTGTTTTATTGTTATCCCCCGCAACGAAATGGGACGTCCATCTGTCCGTCCGTCCATCTGTCCATCAGCCTCTCAATGTGGACAAATTTTCTTAAAAACTATTCCATTTTTTAAGTCAAATTCTACACACTGATGTTACTGGTCACGATCTCAAATAAGGTTGAATATTGTTGCCGTACATTATTTTTTTGCTGAGTTATTGCCCTTGCTCTGTGCCTTTCAACTTAGTGTATAGTGTCTGCAATAGGGACAACTTTTTTCCGAAACTCCTGATGTTACATGAATGAAACTTTGCATGCTTATCTGAGAGATACTTGTCAAGACTGAGTTGGAAAGCATGAGTGTGGTGTAATTCCTTAAGTGAGGGTAAAAGGGATTACAGACAGCGCTGGTCAGAGTTTACTGGGGCTTGAGAAGGGTGTATGGTAGTGAGGTGGGTTGGGGTGAAAGTCTAATACTGTAATGTATTATGGTCTCAGGAATGTGACACTTGCCAATCTCAGCAATAACTGTAACAACAATCCCAGTCTGTAGACTTGGTCTACAGATCGAGAGCCATCGGAGATAGATATTTCTGTCATATATTTCCCACACTTACATCAGTCTCGGCTCTTTCGAATCCAAAATGATTTTATCAGACATCCTTGTGTGGGATTATTCTGTACTTTAGACTTGCACTGTGATAATCAAGTAGAGTGGAACGTTGCCACAACTGTGGTTGTGTGTTGGTATGAGCAGGTGTTGGAAAGAGCATCAGTCCCTGTCTGACCCCTCCACGAGGCTGGCCCTGCCCCCAGTGTGTTGAGGTCCCCCTGGGGTCAGCCGGTCCAGAGTGGGGAGGAGGCTTTTGTCATGCTTTGGAATGCAATCTACTTCCCTTACAGTGCCAAGATTACACATTGTCAGTTTGTATGGATTAATGAAGGATGACATGAGGGGATGGACAATTACATTAGGTGATTGTGTGGAACAGCTTGTGAGGGATCACATCTGAGGGGGAAGGGGTAAGACATGCGTAGTGTGAGGTTGTGGTGCAAGTGTGGAAACCTTCGGAGATGTCATCTATTGTTGTCAGAGTCTGATGGTATTGGTGTAATGACCTCTGATATCTTCAACTCAGGACGGAAGGAAGTCAGATGTTTTTTACTCCACAATATATCATAATCTGTATCTCAGTTGAAATCAGTGTCCGAAATAACTGCCTGCCCGCCTGCCCATGGCTGGTAACTTTTCTGTCGGGCTGCGTGAAACATCCTCGTAGAAAAATCTCAAGTTATTGTTAGCATTATTTCATCTGAATCAAGATGCGACTTGTCTCTTATTTTTTCACAAGGAGTGGGGTGATGGGAAAATGAGTTTAGTAAGGTAAAGGAGTAGGAAGATGGGTTTAGCAAGGTGAAGGAGTGGGGTGGTGGGAAGATGGGAAGATAGGTTTAGCTAGGGTGATGGGAAGATGGGTTTAGCAAGGTGAAGGGAAGATGGGTTTAGCAAGGTGAAGGAGTGGGGTGATGGGAAGATGGGTTTAGCAAGGTGAAGGGAAGATGGGTTTAGCAAGGTGAAGGAGTGGGGTGAAGGGAAGATGGGTTTAGTAAGGTAAAGGAGTGGGGTGATGGGAGGATGGGTTTAGCAAGGTAAAGGAGTGGGGTGATGGGAGGATGGGTTTAGTCAGGTAAAGGAGTGGGGTGATGGGAGGATGGGTTTAGCAAGGTAAAGGAGTGGGGTGATGGGAAGATGGGTTTAGCAAGGTGAAGGAGTGGGGTGATGGGAGGATGGGTATAGCAAGGTGAAGGAGTGGGGTGATGGGAGGATGGGTTTAGCAAGGTGAAGGAGTGGGAAGATGGGAAGATGGGTTTAGTAAGGTGAAGGAGTGGGAAGATGGGAAGATGGGTTTAGTAAGGTGAAGGAGTGGGGTGATGGGAAGATGGGTTTAGCAAGGTGAAGGAGTGGGGTGATGGGAAGATGGGTTTAGCAAGGTAAAGGAGTGGGGTGATGGGAAGATGGGTTTAGCAAGGTGAAGGAGTAGGGTGATGGGAAGATGGGTTTAGTAAGGTGAAGGAGTGGGAAGATGGGAAGATGGGTTTAGTAAGGTGAAGGAGTGGGAAGATGGGAAGATGGGTTTAGTAAGGTGAAGGAGTGGGGTGATGGGAAGATGGGTTTAGTAAGGTGAAGGAGTGGGAAGATGGGAGGATGGGTATAGCAAGGTGAAGGAGTGGTAAGATGGGAAGATGGGTTTAGTAAGGTGAAGGAGTGGGGTGATGGGAAGATGGGTTTAGCAAGGTGAAGGAGTAGGGTGATGGGAAGATGGGTTTAGCAAGGTGAAGGAGTGGGAAGATGGGTTTAGCAAGGTGAAGGAGTGGGAAGATGGGTTTAGCAAGGTAAAGGGAAGATGTGTTTAGCAAGGTGAAGGAGTGGGGTGATGGGAAGATGGGTTTAGCAAGGTGAAGGAGTAGGGTGATGGGAAGATGGGTTTAGTAAGGTGAAGGAGTGGGAAGATGGGAAGATGGGTTTAGTAAGGTGAAGGAGTGGGAAGATGGGAAGATGGGTTTAGTAAGGTGAAGGAGTGGGGTGATGGGAAGATGGGTTTAGCAAGGTGAAGGAGTAGGGTGATGGGAAGATGGGTTTAGTAAGGTGAAGGAGTGGGAAGATGGGAAGATGGGTTTAGTAAGGTGAAGGAGTGGGAAGATGGGAAGATGGGTTTAGTAAGGTGAAGGAGTGGGGTGATGGTAAGATGGGTTTAGTAAGGTGAAGGAGTGGGGTGATGGGAGGATGGGTATAGCAAGGTAAAGGAGTGGGAAGATGGGAGGATGGGTTTAGCAAGGTGAAGGAGTGGGGTGATGGGAAGATGGGTTTAGCTAGGGTGATGGGAAGATGGGTTTAGCAAGGTTAAGGAGTGGGGTGATGGGAAGATGGGTTTAGCAAGGTAAAGGAGTGGGGTGATGGGAAGATGGGTTTAGCAAGGGTGATGGGAAGATGGGTTTAGCAAGGGTGATGGGAAGATGGGTTTAGCAAGGGTGATAGGAAGATGGGATTAGCAAGGTAAATTTTTGGGTGATGGGAAGATGGGTTTAGCTAGGGTGATGGGAAGATGGGTTTAGCAAGGGTGATGGGAAGATGGGTTTAGCAAGGTGAAGGAGTGGGGTGATGGGAAGATGGGTTTAGCTAGGGTGATGGGAAGATGGGTTTAGCAAGGGTGATGGGAAGATGGGTTTAGCAAGGTGAAGGAGTGGGGTGATGGGAAGATGGGTTTAGTAAGGTAAAGGAGTGGGGTGATGGGAAGATGGGTATAGCAAGGTAAAGGAGTGGGGTGATGGGAAGATGGGTTTAGCAAGGTGAAGGAGTGGGGTGATGGGAGGATGGGTATAGCAAGGTAAAGGAGTGGGGTGATGGGAAGATGGGTTTAGCTAGGGTGATGGGAAGATGGGTTTAGTAAGGTAAAGAAGTGGGGTGATGGGAAGATGGGTTTAGCAAGGTGAAGGAGTGGGGTGATGGGAAGATGGGTTTAGCTAGGGTGATGGGAAGATGGGTTTAGCTAGGGTGATGGGAAGATGGGTTTAGTAAGGTAAAGGAGTGGGGTGATGGGAAAATGGGTTTAGCAAGGTGAAGGAGTGGGGTGATGGGAGGATGGGTATAGCAAGGTAAAGGAGTGGGGTGATGGGAGGATGGGTATAGCAAGGTGAAGGAGTGGGGTGATGGGAGGATGGGTTTAGTAAGGTAAAGGAGTGGGGTGATGGGAGGATGGGTTTAGCAAGGTGAAGGAGTGGGGTGATGGGAGGATGGGTTTAGTAAGGTGAAGGAGTGGGAAGATGGGAAGATGGGTTTAGTAAGGTGAAGGAGTGGGAAGATGGGAAGATGGGTTTAGTAAGGTGAAGGAGTGGGAAGATGGGAGGATGGGTTTAGTAAGGTGAAGGAGTGGGAAGATGGGAAGATGGGTTTAGTAAGGTGAAGGAGTGGGGTGATGGGAAGATGGGTTTAGCAAGGTGAAGGAGTGGGAAGATGGGAAGATGGGTTTAGTAAGGTGAAGGAGTGGGGTGATGGGAAGATGGGTTTAGTAAGGTAAAGGATTTGGGTGATGGGAAGATGGGTTTAGTAAGGTAAAGGAGTGGGGTGATGGGAAGATGGGTATAGCAAGGTAAAGGAGTGGGGTGATGGGAAGATGGGTTTAGCTAGGGTGATGGGAAGATGGGTTTAGTAAGGTAAAGGAGTGGGGTGATGGGAAGATGGGTTTAGCTAGGGTGATGGGAAGATGGGTATAGCAAGGTAAAGGAGTGGGGTGATGGGAAGATGGGTTTAGCTAGGGTGATGGGAAGATGGGTTTAGTAAGGTAAAGGAGTGGGGTGATGGGAAGATGGGTATAGCAAGGTAAAGGAGTGGAATCTTGACATGTATGTTGGAAACACTGAATGACAAAAACATTGCAGGAAGCTTGTTTCTCGATTCATGTGTAAACAGGAAACAGACACTGAAAGAAACAGAAAATTTAAACCTGAATCTGACAAAAATGTATTAAAAGATAAATGACTCACTCGCTCATCAGTGTCTTTCATCTATTTTAATTTCAACAAGAGAATGGACATACAAATTAATTAATTCTGTTTGTCCTAATGATTTTTGACAATTTCAACATTGTTTCTGATCAATTTTGCATCTCAAACTTCCTGACAACCACAACAATTGTGAAAATGATATAAATCCTATAAATCGTGTAAATGTTGAAATTATTATAAATTAATAAAAAGCATAATGCTTTGTAAACCACTCAATGTTAATCCAGTGTTCCAGATGGCTTTAGAGTCAGTGCTGCAGCTCATAGTTCCTGTTAAAATTAGCAGTGATCGTTTTGGGAATGATTAACCATCAAAAGCTGGGGTAGCGTGTTCAATCGGAGCTCATCCCCCACTCCCCATACTGGCGTGTGTACCTACGTACATACATGACGTTCTCAGCTCACTAGTGTTACTTCCCTCCTGACGTAGCAGCTGGACCTGGTATCACTGGCTCTCCCAGCACGCCGGTATAGCACAGCACCTCCCTGTGAATGGACTTACCTGCGTCGTTAGTGGACTATTTATAGATTCACAGGTGTAGGTGTGAATGGAAAACGTGTGACAGACTGGACTCAAATTGGCTAAAAACCTGACCTGGAGGAATGAGATAGATCAGATGTGGTGGACGGATTGTGTCCGAGGTTTACACATGGTCATCAGCGAGTTCTGTTGTGTCTCTACCATGTGAGACATGGGCTTCATCGCATTCCTCCTTGTCTGAGACGCTACAGTGTGCTTGAAGGATTCATCTTTTTGGATAAGAATTGATAACATGTAAAAATTGTGGACAGGTAAGAAGCTGCAGGTATAGCTGTTTTTTGGTTTGTTTTTTTATTTTATGGGATGTAGGAATTGAGTCTTATTTTAAGATATTAATTATGTTTGTATTGAAAAGGTTTGGTTTAATTTCATAATATTGTTTATTTGTATAAATATTTTGGTGTCCAAAAGTTGTATTTTCAAAATAAACATTCCTTATGCTTGTTGACAAGAATGTGGAATTTAAAAATTTAAAAAACTTTTGTCCACAAATGTTGATTCAATGTCATTGATTTTGGAATTTTATTTTGGAAAACCTTCTGATTCTGTTAAATTGTAACATGTGATATTTCCATTGAGACTAATTTGATTGCAGTGGACTTATTTTCTTTGACTCAAAACGGTTATTTGGTAAGATGATAGTTAAATTATGTTTATTTTTAGCCTTGAAATCTATTTTAAGAAAATTCTAAAATTTGTTGGACAAAAGATATTTTGATTAATTGATAAATAACCAGCAAAGGAAACAAAATGTGTCAACTGATAATATTTGGTGCACATAGCCAGACAATTGTTCTGCAAGTTATAATCTTGTACATCAGGTTTGATACTAGGTGTTGTGATAACCTACTTTACTGATCTGCCGAACCCCCAAACATGGATTGTTTCTTGGCCTCACTGGACTACTTACTATTCACAGATTCGCATCTAACAGATTCGCATCTAACAGGGTGGGGTTTTGTTCTCATGCAAATGATGCATAATAAAATATATGTAACATGCGTGTCACATCTCTCAAAAATGCCAGAAGGAAAATAGGAGAAAAAAAAATCACATTATTCTGACCCTTTATGATAAATACAGTGGGGTTTTTTCTTCCTTTTTTGACCCCTGAGAAAGAAAAAAAACCTGTCAACCAACTTTTGAGAAAAGAGGAAATCAAAGAAAAATATATAAACTTTTAAGGAAATGCCAATGAGGACAAAGAACTTTGTTTAATGTTGTCATGATTCTGATATGCATTTTATTGAAGAAACATTTTTAGAAGATTATTTGACTAATGAATGATATTCTAGGGAGTGTACTATATGATTGCATTATTGGATGAAATTAGGTTGATGCATGTCATAACCAGATGTGTCTGTGATGATTGATGGCAATGTACAATGTGTGATGAATTACTGCAGGTCATATTTACATTACCAGTGTCAAGTTGTACGCATGACTAAGTTTTCTCCTCCGCCATTTACATTGATCAACATATCAGTTTGTTATATGACTCACAATACGTCCAATATCTATTTCTTATGCAGCCTTGATCACTCTTGCTGATTCGTTCTCTATTAAGAGATTTAAAAAAAATAATTTTATAGCATATTTTTATGGATAAGGACAAATTTGAAAATGTTGAGGAAACGTTACAAAACCAGAGGAAAAGTAACTTTTCAAAACCTGTTTGTGTTTTTATCAAAATAAAATTTACAAATACATGAATGAAGGTTTAGACGTTTCTTCTATGAAGCTACTACTGGTTCATTACTTGTCTCAGATGTATCTGCCCAAAAGAAGCCTCAAGTTTCTCCTTTTAAAATAGGTAGATGACAGTTTCAATATGAAATTCTTTGAACTGTAGCATTCAACAACAAACAGACAAACTCTTGTGAGGATGGCATATGCCATGATGTATAATTCTTTTTATTTTATTTTTTTTTGTTTAATGCCTCAAAATGACAATTAGGGTTTCTGGGGATTGATCTAGGTTTTCTAACTAAGTGCCCTTGGCAGGCAAGTTATGGAAAAAAATTGTTATGGGATTTAAAAATGAGTATTTATTGTCCTATATTCAGGTATTTTAACCTTGCATGTTGACACTGCATGAAATGAAATAATGTTAAACCAAGCATGAAATGATGTTGATCTTTACTGTTATCTGTGAGATACACGTGACTTCTACTACAAAGACAACATTATTATTGTATAAAGATTACTGTACAAGCAAGTGTGTTAGATTGGAAATTGGCCCAGATGACACACCGATGGTATCTTGAGTCAGGCTGTATGTTCAGTTACATATTTGATAACAAGAGGTATGTGCACACACCGCAGCACTCTCAACCAGACTCACATCTAACTGTCATTCCCCTAGCAACCTACCTCCCCCCTACGTCACATCACTTACCAAGTATATGTTACCCTGGCGACATCGAATGCGATCACTCGCTGGGCGCCGCCATCTTGAAAGGAGTCTCGCTCTCGCGAGATCTCGTTATATTTATGAACTAAGTTTTAACCGTATCATACTGATTTTATGAATCCTTGTATTTCCGGAGCATGAGCGAGGGTTATACGCAATTTCTTACACAAGTTTATTATTTCTTTAACCTTTGACCTTCTTGGTCTCACAAGTCCACGTTTTTCGAATGTGAAAAAAGGGTTCAGCTATGACGTTGTTTCTAGTGTGACGTCATTCCGACCCTACGTTACAATAAAATTTGAATTATGTCGGCAGTGCCATCCAGTTTACGTAAACAATCCCTGGTGTGCAAAGTGATATTTGCACTGTGCCAATACGATGTTTATGAACACAGTTATCTCTAACCTTATGGGTAATAAATATAACTATTATATCATGAAGTAGGAATACACAAGGTAGGATAAGGCCAGTTTCTGGACCTGGGATCTGCTTAATATAAGAGTTAGCAATACATTTAGAATGGGATATGCCACTTGTCAGCTATGATCATATGAATGAGAATGACTTTGGTCATGATTGTATGTTTGGGAAGTATGACAACACTAAATGGCATAGGTAAGGATAAAATGGGTAAAAAAGGTTGATTTTTAGAGGTTTTCATGATTAATTTTCTTGTGTTAAAACATGAGCAAGTAATTGACACAAGCTTACTGTCATCATGTTCAGAAAATCATTACACATGGTCAAATATTCATCTTGGGTCATGGACTTGGTCAAACTTAGATTTTCAATTCATTTTTTTTCCACTCATGTTAGACATAGATGTGTATTTGACCAACTTGCAATTGTAAGAAAGAAAAAAGGCTGTCAGCTAAATGAACGTGTGTGATAATTTCTGTAACCAATAATTCAAGTTTTCTGCAATTTAAAAATTTGACATTTCAATTAGACCCAAAAGAACTTTTATCCTATATCTCTCTTTTTATTTCCAATTTGGACGTTTTTGCTGACATTTGCTGCAGATTTGGAACCAAATATTGGCTTAGAGCAGGCCTCTTGATCAATCCCTGGTTTCATGAGAGCTCCTCTGTGCAATACATGAATGGAAGTTTTGTTGTCAGGTAATGCTTATTGTCAGATGAATGTGTGAAAAGTTGACGAGGTGGTAATTGATACCACACAACTTGTGACATGGGTTGTGATGATTTTATCATTGGTCGACAATTTGTTTGCTGCTTGCCTGGTCGCAGGTGGCTTTTATTATGTCTGTAAACAGAACATGTTTTCATTGAATGGTGATTGTGAAGCAATTTACTGTTGAAATGGGCTCTTTACATCCATCAGAGCACTACTCCAGACTATTTTGATGTTTTTCTTCACCTGGTACACAGATGAAACAGCCTTTACCTTGCACACTTGACCTTGTACACTTGACCTTGCACACTTGACCTTGTGCACTTGACCTTGCACACTTGACCTTGCACACTTGACCCTGCACACTTGACCTTGCACACTTGGCCCGAGTCAATGTACCGAGATGAGCCTTTGAAATGTCTGAAAGGAAAGTATTCAATACTGTAAATCTTGAAATTAATACGACTGCTGACCCCTAGTCAAAAATGCGACTCAATATCAATGCGACTACCCCCAGCCCATCCCCAGTGGAATGATACATATCCTATCTTAATCCAATAAAACAGCAAATCATGCAGCTTATTAGCACTGAGTTAAACACTTCTGTAATAACAATCAACAGTGTTTTCCTAAAAACAACACACAGTTTATATGTTTACTCTGCTGACTGGCATTAAGAAAGTTTAAAGGCAATAAAATAAGTGAACCAACAACAGTTCACTGATTGGATTTGTCAATGATGCCTAGTTTGACACGAATGGGTAGAACTCTTGACCCCATCAGTGATAACTCACCGGATGCCCGTTGTGTAATTCCTATTCTTTAAATGACATTGTTATATACTTGTTACAACTGCTGCTCAGTAAACCGTGTTTGTGTTTATATTCAGTTGGTATTTCCGCTATCCAAAGTGTGCAGTGAGGCCGTCTTATTGTTAATAGTCATTTTGGAGACATAAATGCGAAGAAAGACCACTCGCATTTTTCGCATTTAATTTATGCTCACGATAATTTTAAGATTTACAGTATGTTGCAAGTATGTTGGAAAAAGTTCTAATGTTTGGGGGGGGGGGGGGGGTTGGTGGGTGCACACCCTCCTTTCTTTCAGACACCATATCATGAAGGGGATGGACGTACACCTTATCCCCACGGCACAAGAGAACAAGACGCATAGTAGCTTGTAGGTCACCCCCCCTGATTTCAGAAGCCTGGATCCTTCTCTGTTTACTAATTCCTCCATCAAAATTTGGTCTATAGAAAACATGATATTTGAGTTTTGAGACAGCCTGTCCATATCATGCATAATGCATAAGAAAGTAGCATGACACACACACAGTTCATTCAGGTTGCCTCATAATCAGTAAGTGCTGAATAATGGAATAATGTTTGACTATTGATGAAGTTTCTGTGAATGATGAATGGCAATGTCATTGTGTGAATTGTTGAATGAATGTCTTTTTCATAATGATTGAGATTAATCAAATGGTTGGGCCCTGTCAGGGCTGTAAGAGATAGGAACCTGCTCTTGGTTGCTGGTTTAGAGGTATAGTAGGCTGGTATATGTAGTGGTAGAGGTATAGTAGGCTGGTATATGTAGTGGTAGAGGTATAGTAGGCTGGTATATGTATTGGTAGAGGTATACTAGGCTGGTATATGTAGTGGTAGAGGTATACTAGGCTGGTATATATAGTGGTAGAGGTATACT